TCTCAAGAGCTTGCTGGTATAAAGTCTTCAATAGTTAAAAGCTGTAACAATGAAGGTTTTGGACATAAACAGAGTAGTTGGCAGGAGCGAAGGAAGAAGACGAGGACGATGTCGAATGCGAGTAGTATCGTGGGACGTGTGAATTACAGAGTTGAGCTATTCGAAGCTTGGCGATGAAAAAGGTTTTATTGTTGATGTTTTTGATCCATCTTTTGGAATTTCTTGATTTGGGTTTTGTGAGATGGATGGATGGATGCTTGTATACAAGGAATGATATGTTTCTGCATATAATCTCAAAGATTAAAGTTTCTGCTTCTCTTCCTCCGGATTTATCTTGAAACTTGAAAGCCAATCTGCATCTTTCAGCTACTTGTATATGGTTATATTTTTGTTTCAATATACATGTTTTAGTTTTTTTTTGCATATCTAAATGAATCGTTGTAATATCCGTAAAACCTCTTGTTAATAAACCATCATTTTAAATACTCCATCAGTATCATTTTAAATAATTTTTAAAGATGTTACACATAGATTAAGAAAATTTTAATTTTTTAGTTTTTCTAAATTAAAACATCATTTATCATTCAATTAAATACAATTCAACCAATATTAAATCAAACTGCAAAATACAAATAATTAAAATAAATAAAAGTGCATTTAATTTTGTCTTGAAAATTCAAAAAATCATATAATTTAATACAAAAACAAATTTCTAGAAAATCATCTAATTTGATACAGAGAAAATACAATTTTTGCTAAATGGACTAAATGTAAAATTGATCATTTCTTATTACACATTATATTAACAAAAAAATCTTAAAATTACACGTAACATGCATAAATTATACATGTACAACGACGATTTATTATCCCAAGACTAGCATCACGTTACATGATGAATGGCAAAGTCTCGGAATTTATTAAAGGAAAAGGGAATACAAACGATTACATCACAATCACATTAGACTAATTATTTCTTAGTCAACGAAACGACAAGAGTGACAGTCGTTTTGGCCAGGCAGTTTGCATGCTGAATCACATGGTGTGCATACTTATCAAACAAGATATCAATAATGTCTTCTCCAAAATGAGCAACGAGCATTGGTTCACTAACCGCTCTTATACAATTAGATTCGTTGTGTCCTGCTTCGTACTGATCTTTTTTGTACTCGTCGCAGGTACTATGGCCAAGATCGAATCCATGAGTCTCTAAATCATTGATTTCAAAAGAGCCCTCGTTTCGTATCACTTCTTTGAGTTCTTGTTCGTTTGGATCATAAAACGGCATGTTAAATGCATCCAGTTTTGATTCACTCACTATGCCCTGTATATATATACATAAAGATCGCGATTAGGATCGTGAATGGACATACTTAAAATGTTTTGACAAAAATAAATGAATAAACTTGATTTGATATACCTCATTGACTAGGTCGCGGATTGATAGCAATGTCCAAAAGTGACAACAATCTCTATACAGTGGATCATCATTAAGAGTGTTTTTTCCGATAAAAGTGAGAACCATACGTCCACTAGAGACAATTTCTTCGGAGCGTAACTTTAAAAACATTGTGAAATCTCTTTGGAGTTGATTCAAGTAAGTCTTGTATGCACTTTGAGGACTTGAGCTTGTTATGTACACACTTCCCTTATCATTCTCGAGTTTTTCAGGAACCTTTAATCATAAATACACAATTCCACCGTTTTAATATCCAATATTATCTCTATTTTTTAAACAAAAATGTTGTAACACAAATTAAGTCTTAAATTTTTTATAAGTACCTTAGAGAGCCAATGGAGAGCGTAAGAGGAATGTATGAAGTGGATGCTACTGCGAGAGAAGAGCCTAGAGTAGAAGGAACCAGGAGCTCCATATACAAAACACGATGTTTTGTTTGTGATCAAGAGCTCCTTGTTGAAGAAAGGTACGAACTTGAAGGTTGTGTTGAAATCGTTTTCGGGGAGATCATTCAGACAACAATCTATTAATGGTGGGTTTTGGTTCAATTGTTGGCACAACACATTGATGGTGTTGATGATCTCGGACATAGCCAAAAACGTGTTTTGTCCCGAAGAACAACCCAATTCAGCAACTTTGATGTACTTAGGAAAGTCCAAGGTCATCATCATTTCTTCTGTGTTTTTTACCAAGACTGCTTTGGCCATTGATAAAACTTTTCTCTGAAAACCAAAGAACACACTAGTTAAAAAACTATTGTTCTCTCTATAATCTGTTTATTATGGACGAACGATCAATCGATCTTCATTAATTACAACAAACTTGAATGAAGAACTAAGAAATTTCTAAAAACTAAGATAACCACGTACAACAATATATATGTCTTACTCATTTTATATTAGTGGTGTGCATTTTCGAGTTAAAAGTTTGACTTGCATGTGTTTGTACAAGTCTTATCTATTTATAGTCTTGGGGAATTTTGAAAAGTACCCTAAATTTTATATGAAAATTTGAAAAGAACACTTAATCTTGTAAAGTTGGAAAAATATACATTTTTATTACGTAAAAGTACGTTAATACC